AGTGGGCACTCTGACACATGCTGGAAATTAGAATGTTTGGCGTCCATGAAAAAAGCCTGCTGTCCCGAGATAGGTGCATCAGCACTGTGTGTGTGCAAACACACTAGCAGCAGGTATTAATGCATTATAAACGGCAGACAATGGTGGCGAAATGGTGTTACAGACTGTTATGTGTGGAGTGCAATGTTCACTGCATCTGCCTCTAAAAACATACTCCCCAGACATCCTTCAAGCTTAATTTGGTGGGCCTGTTTGTGAGGGAGAGTGAGACTTCAACAACAAGCCCTACGGTCACATGACCTTACTGAACTTTCCCTCACACTACACAGATACAGTGAGGGGACTTGAAACTGCCACTGTCACTCTCATGAGGGAAGGGTGGCATTAAGACAGACTTCCCTCCTGTTCCCTCTCAAGGCTGTGACACAGTGCAGGGGAAGCGAAGCAAAGGGAAAAAAAACCCAACCTTCCACTTCGCACCGCAGCTTGGCTACACTGTAGTTTGTCCGGCACAGTTAGAAAAGCCTTCTCACTGCTTATCACACTCTTTCACTGTTTATTAAACGTACACCTAAACCTTCTCTTCTCTAACAGACTACCTCTATGTTAAATGCTCATCCCTGTCCTGGCCAAGTCTGTCTACAACAGCTTGCTCTCATCCACCATGGATTCACTTCACTCACTACACAGAACTAGGCCCCGACTGCTACAACCTTGGTAAACAGATGAATCCAGTAGTTTCAAAAGACAGCCCGCAGGCCTGAATATATTTTATCCTACACTTTCCTCGTCAGAAGGCCGGTGCCAGAATGAGGCTTTACTTTCCTCTCATCACTTATGTTAACCTAATAACATGCCCTGTACACAATCATTTGTGTTTCAATATATGGGTCTTAAAGAATATTTTACAACTGAATTAACTGGATGCATGCATTTAAGCGCCTTCAATTGCCTTTTCCACCTAACTGAACACTTTCAATAAAAACTTTTGAACAAGAGCCAATAGCTGCATCAAGGTCAAGAAATAATAGGTTGGTTTCTGCTATAGCTTCTACATAAATGCAAAGCAATGGGGTATAATATTTTTCATTACTGAAAATTTATGGTTTCCTGTAATGCTATTCATTACAGTGTAGAATACTGTAAAATTTTCCTCACAGCACAGTCACATAGAATAATGAGGAGGTATCCTTTTAACTTTATATTCTGACCGATACACCAAAATTGTTAAAAGAGAACTACAACTTCACCAAGCCCTTTGAAGTAACAGCTTATAATGAGTGCATGCATTAGACTGTAATTTCATATTTACAGTATAGGAGGCATTCAATTAAAGGAGACCTATGGGTGAAATACACTCATCCCCATAGTTAGAGCCGATACGTGACACTGAAGCTGTCACATGCCAGCTCTATTGATCAAGAACTGATCGATAACATACCGTTGATTGCTCAGTTCATGATCTGCTCCCTGCAGAGCGCAGTGACTGCCAGTCACCACTCCCCATAGGGATTCCCCCCCTCCCCTCTGTTCCTCCAGCGCTGACTGGAGGGCCGGTTTCAGTAAAGGAAAGGAGCTTTGACAACTGTGCAAGAAGGAAGGTAAGGCTGGAGTTAAGCTGTAAGCAGCCAAGATAAAAACCAATAACACCTTTAACTACTTGCTGCCCGCCCATTGTAAATAAATTGACGGATGGTAAGCTCCCTCCAGTGCGGTGCCCTAAATATACGGCTTTTTTTTGCGGCTCTATAACTGTCAGATCGCTTGTATGGTGGCCAACAGTATGCACCCCCCTCATCACCGTTACCAGCTATCCCAGGCTCCGCTGTGCCAGCTGCGGACCCAGGACCGGCTCTCAGCATGAAGATTGGAGGGTGATCAACACTCTCCCACCTGCTGATCTCCTCTCTGATCTCTGAATGTGGAGGTGGTGTGTATTACATCACTTCCACATTCATTTCTCTGGCTGCTATAGCCAGAGAAGCAGCTGGTGAAGCAGATCTCTGCTTAATCAGCTTCTTTGGGGGTTCCCAGGTGACATTAAGGGTCTTAGAGAAAATTTTAAAAAAATTAGTCACATAAAAAAATAAAACCCCCCAAAATTGTAAGTACCCCGCCCCGTGTATACGCACGTACAAACGTAAATACTCGTCTGGTGTACCAATGCTGGTGGGCCATCAATCACTGATAAACAGCTTTTACCGCTCATCAGTTTTTAGTGTTAAGTGTCGCCTATGGGCAATTTTGGGTATTGCAGTTTTTTGGGGTTTTGCAGGGCAACGCAGTTTTAAGGCTTTACATGTTTGGTTTACCCGACGTGACCCGGTCTTTTACATTTAAAAAAAATTGGTTAGTAGGGGAAACTATAAAAATAAAAACCCCAGTGGTGTCCCCAAAAAATTATATAAAATTAATTTCATTACAGCGTTGTATGACTGAATAAATGTCAAAGTACCTCAGCGCCGAATACTGAAAAATAGCCTGGACCGGAAGGGGATTTACCACTCCAGTCCAAGTGGTTAATTATTTTAGCCTAGTTAAAGCCTGTTCTGTTTAACAAAGGAAGTAAATTGTATTTTCATGGGTTGCTGGTGTATCAGTAGTTCACTTTTGCATAAAAAAAATGGCTGAAAGGAAACATTTCTTAAGACACCCATCAGTCTTCGTATGTGAAATGAAGGTTATTCCATGGGTCAGATATTCAAGAAAAGAAACATTTAATACAAAAGTATCTACTACTACTTGAGAAGATAGGCAAATTGCATCTAACCAAATATAAAATAAGGGGAAGGCTCGGATATATACACTATATTACCAAAAGTATTGGGACACCCCTTCAAATCATTGGATTCAGGTGTTCGGTGAAATTCCCTTGCTTCTGATTATTCCACGGTCACCTGTTAGTGGTATTTTAACAAAGTGGGAGCAACAGCAACTCAGCCACGAAGTGGTAGGCCACGTAATATGACAGATAGGGGTCAACGCATGCTGAAGTGCACAGTGCGCAGAAGTCGCCAACTGTCTGCAGAATCAATAGCTACAGACATCCAAACTTTGAGTGGCCTCCAGATTGGCACAACAGTACATAGAGAGCTTCATGGAATGGGTTTCCATGGTCGAGCAGCTGCATCCAAGCGTTACATCACCAAGTGCAATGCAAAGTGGCGGATACAGTGGTGTAAATCACGCCGCTACTGGGCTCCACAGAAGTGGAGATGTTTTCTCTGGAGTGACGAATCATGCTTCTATGTCTGGCAATCCCATGGACGTGTCTGGGTTTGGGGGTTGCCAGGAGACCGGTACTTGCCTGACTGCATTGTAAAGTTTGGTGGAGGGGGTATTATGGTGTGGGGTTGTTTTTCAGGGGTCGGGCTTGGCCCCTTAGTTCCAGTGAAGGGAACTCTTAAGGCATCAGCATACCAAGACATTTTGGACAATTTCAAGCTCCCAACTTTGTGGGAACAGTTTGGGGGTGGCCCCTTCCTGCTCCAACATGAGTGCACAGTAGTGCACAAAGCAAGGTCCATAAAAGACATGGAGAACGGAGTTTGGGGTGGAGGAACCTGACTGGCCTGCACAGAGTCCTGACCTCAACCCGATAGAACACCTTTGGGATGAACTAGAGGCGGAGACTGCGAGCCAGGCCTTTCCACGTGCCCCCCCCCCCCCCCAATAAAGGAACATTTTCAATTTGTAAGACCTGAACATTGTTACATTGGGGGGTGCTCTGACACTGGGAGGTAATCAAGTCTATATATTACTGTGCCACAACCTCCAATAACTCCTTCTAGTATTTCTGAAATTTGATAAAGCAGTAGGTGATTGAACCTGGTTTTCCTCTTTAGCAGATTTGTCTATACATGCATATGGCTAAATCTGTTCTATACATCAGTCAAAGATTTAATTATTAAAGAAACAACTGAAGGGATTGTACAATACATGCATACACCAACAAGTGCAGCCATAGAAGGGGCATATTTTTAATTCTACACATTCACCGAATTGCGTGTGCGCATTTTACCCATCAAACACTAATAAATTACCTTCAAATGATACCTAATCTACCAGAACACAGAAATGCTTTTTTTTTACATTGTAGAAAATTATGTATTGCTTCAAGTTAAAGAAATTATGTCTATCTTCAATACTGAAACATTTGACTGAAATAAAAAAAAAAAACTAGCTCCATGTTTTCCATAGTCCCACTACAGGAAAAAAAGAGAGTAAAGTTGTGGGATACAGGTGTTGGTCACAATTTTATAGACCACAAAACATTTTTAAAGAGTGAACGGACATTGAGTATTTTTTAAAAGACAGAAATAGAGATTTTAAATAAATTAGAGAGTTTAAATTTATTAAACAAACGAAACATGTGTAACCAATGAGAACGATGAGATTTATTATGGTTGTGCAGAATTTTTCCTGAAGAGATACGGAAAGGCTTTGCTATAAAAGTAAAATTGACAAAAGTTTACACTGCGGTGTATAAAGAAATGCACACGTATATTTATAAGAAAATATGAATATACAATAGTCCAACTATACACTTACTTACAAGGCGGCAGTTTATGTGTGAACTGCAGGAAAATATTTATTTATTTTTGTCTCATGCTCTATAAATACAGGTTACCTCCAAAGATCATAATCTTAGGTCTTGATGGCTCCTATGCAGTTTCAAAATCTAAGTTTCACTGAGGCCAGAAACTACAGGCAGCGCTGTATTCCCAGCGCGGCAGGAATAAAGTGCTTCGGCTGTGCCAGTGAAGGACTCCAGTGGTATACCCACCTCCCCCTCTTGTCTATTCATAGAAAACCTTGTATTCTTTTCACAGAACACAAGGGGGTTCTGTAAATGGATGAGGGGACTGAAGGGGGGCAGGTAAATATTGGAGCCCTTTACTGTCGCAGCTCTTAATTCTTGCAGCACAGGAAATACATTCCTGCCGGCACTTTCCAGCATCAGTGAAACTAGTATTTTAAAACTACACAGAATCGATCTGGACCTAAGATTACCATCATTAGAGGTAGCTTATTTTTACAGAGCACAAGGCATTTCCCCCCCAGAGTTCAGCTTTGAAACAATTGTAATAAGTTTAGATAATTATCATCTGTACAGATAGAAGAGGGATATCTACATGTGTTGTATGAATACCACAGGATGAAGAAGTAACAAAAAGTTAATCTTATTTAGCTGTTCTTGTTCTAAGCCGTCTCTTCATTATAAGGTGATCACTTTCCCTTTCATTAGTGTCCATAATGATCTGTGGGAAAGGGAGAGAGATGCGTCTGTATTCTTGGATTTATAAAATAACGACAAATAAAATAAAATATCGCTATAGAACAAAACCACTAAATATCTGTGGGAGACCAGAATAGTAATATGCAATAGGCATTATGTTTAACACATTTGCTTTACATGCATAAATCCAACAATTTTTTTTACGTTTTATATGGAGTAGGGAAAACCGCTGTTAGGTTTTTATTGCGGTTAGTGTTCGCTGGGCAGATGCACCCTCTATGAGTGAGTGGGACAGATAATAATAGGAAACAATTCACTTGTCATCAGAACAGGAGGTAAGGAGAAATCTTCCAATGAGGACATTTGTTCCAGTTATAATAGTCGAAAAGAGAATTTTCCCTAACTTCCTGTTGTGTCTTTATCTACCTCCCGGCCAGCCGCTGTGTATACACGGCCTGCCGGGAGCTTCTTGGATGTAACTGGGCGTGTATACACGTCCTGTTACATCCACCCGCTCGGGCGCGCCGTGCGCGAGCGGGAAATACCCGCTATTTGAAAAGCTACAGCGATGCCCGTTAATATACAAGCGATCCGCCGGCTATAGAGCCGGCGGATCGCTTGTATGAAGCCCCGAGACGTGCGCCCCCTCCGCGGCTCTCCCCCTCCCCCCCTCCCGCTGTCAAGCTGGTCCCGGGCTCCGGTGTGAGCCCGGGACCAGCATAGTGCCTCTGTCACAGGGGATCAGAGGGAGCTCGGTACACGAGCTCCCTCCGGTCCCCTCTCCGCTGTCAGAATGCGGAAGTGTTGTATATTACATCACTTCCGCATTCTTGTGTCACTCTCCAGCTTCAGATGCTGGAGAGAAGCTGATGAAGCAGATCTCTGCTTCATCAGCTTCTTCAGGGGGGTCCTAGGTGACATTAGGGGTCTTGGAGACCCCCTGATGTCTCCATAAAGAGGACCTGTCACCTCTTTTGCTATCACATAAGGGGGTTTCTCAGCCCCCTCTGTGATAGCAATAAAGTTAAGTGAAAAAAAAAAATAGTACAAAAATTTAAAGTTTCCCCCCCAATTTTTTTAAAGTTACACAAAAAAGAATTAAAAAAAACAAATTTTTTTTTTAAAGTCCCCACCCCTACATACACGCATGTAAACATGCGTCAGGTGCGCATACCTGCGAAAACGACGATTGTACCCATTACGCCGCACATGTTACATATCGCCGCGAACGTCGGAATGAGAGCAATAGTTCTAGGGCCATCAATCACTGATAACACTAAACTGATGAGCGGTAAAAGCTTTTAAAGCGTCGCCTATGGCCAATTTTGGGTATGCTAGTTTTTTGCGATTTTGCGAGTGCGCGCAATTTTTACGCTTGACATGTTTGGTGTCTATTTACCCGACGTGACCCCATCTTTTATATTTTACCAAAAAAGTGGGTAATATTAGTTGTTTTATAGCATAATGTAAAAAAAAACGTTTTTTTTTCTCAAAATTTTCAGTAATTTCTCCTGAATATAGTAAAAAATAAAACCCGCAGTGGTGATTAAATACCACCAAAAGAAAGCTCTATCTGTCCCCAAAAAATGGTATAAAATTCATTTCAGTACAGCGTTGCGTGACGGAATAAACGTCAGTCAAAGTACCGCAGCGCTGAACACTGAAAAATGGCCTGGCCAGGTAGGGGATCTAAACACCTGGTCTTCAAGCAGTTAAGTTAAAGTGAAGGCAATTCTTAATTGGACGTAGGCAGCTAAAATAAAAAAAAGAAGAAGTGGACAGGGGTTTCCATTTTCCACATTATTCAAATTTAAAAAGGGGCAACTTTAGCTATGCCTTAGAGTACCCAGACACACTAGATGACTGTCACCCATAATCTGTAAATCCAAGCAACAATAGGGCTTGTCAGAGTTACTGAGGAAGGTCTCTGTCCTCAGGGGCTAGATATTAATACATAATGTAATATTTCAGCCAATAGCCTGTTCCTCTACTGTCTTCAGAGTAAAGAGACCTACACCTAAAATTTGACCATTCCTCCTTATTCCTACTGTATGTGAAATATGGACCTACAGATCTAATACCGGTATCAACATATTGAGTTTCTGCATTCTCAAAAATTCTAGGAGCCCAATCGAACATGGGAACTACTACACCAGCACCAAACCTGTGACAGCTGTAGGTTAGGCAATGCTATTACATACTCACTAGAGGTAATGCTAGGACTCTGCCGCACAGATCCAAATCTTTTTTATTTATTAATCCATATGACAGGTGCACAGTAAAAAGTGTAGACAATCATTTCTGAAATTCATACTCTACACATAATGTCAACATTTGTCAATATGTGTTGCTGCTGGCTGTGCAACCAAACAAGCCAGGTTGACCCATGTGTATGCTTGTTTAATACAAGCAGTGGCCCAAGGAATGATTGGAGCCTTAAGTGGTATTACTTTACGAGATTGGTAATGTCTGTAACCATATAGAGAAATTGTGGTGGGGAAGGAGATGGAATTGGATGCATTTGAGGATTCTGGGGACTGATGTGATGCATGTGATGCATAACTAAATTGGCTTTTCATAATATAAATGTATTTAATGTCAATTATATCTAAATTCATATTTTGTATTTGACAATATATTTTATACAACTTAACAGCTCTGGCTAGTTCACACTGGTCTTTCCTTGCACCTGTCCAAATATATTCTAGTTTCATCAGAAAAAGGAAGTGGTGCTTCGTTTGCAAAGAGACACTGTGATCATATACTTACTGCATGAGCAGGGATGTCTAGTGGAGCTGAGATTTCAGCAGTGTACAACTTTCTCCTGTTCTTCTTGGGTTTACTCTCCTCTTCTTTATGGCCAGAAATCAAATTTGTCGTCTTTGGAGCCGCAATTGTTCCAAGCAGTTTTTTGGCTTAAAAAGCAAACAGACCATTAAAATGGAGCTTGTTGCTTAAACAAATTGAACATCGGTTCTACCAAGAATAAAAAAAAAAAGCTCTTGAATAAAAGTGAAAATATTAGATGGGTTAATACCTTTATTCTGGAAAATGGAAGGAGAGCTCTGTAAGAACTCCCCAAGCTTTTGCAGGGTCCCATCTTTTTTCCGACTAGAGGTAGTGCTGGACGTGGATAGCTGTTTTGTCAGCATTTGTTTCTGGAATCAAAATATATTTATATGGTAATGTCTACGCGAGCATCTCAAACATTTTAACAATTTGCAAACATAAATATTTATTAATACCAAAGAACCTCTGACAAATTCTCATTATACATTACATAAATATCATTAGCAAACACAATGCAAATTCTGACTCGCTAATGAATACAGCTAGATAATATAGTGTGCCCAGAAGCTAAAGTGCAAATACACTGTTTAGCACTGCACTTTAAATAGCAGCAGGGCTATTGTAGACACATGACAAAAGTACTTCACACATTTCAGTCAACGTGAAGCATTATGGTTGTGCATAGAAGTATCTTAAATCATCTAAAAATCATTTAATCTTCTATTCTAACTTTATTCTGCACTAAAACAGCAGCATTGCCCCCCTTTGACCGGTCCTATGTTTACTTATTTTTTTGAACAGAGGTCAGCCACACAAATAAAATAAATAATGCAGATGCAAAGTATTGGAGAACGTCTTCACCTCATGTTAGCGTGGTACAGATCTACTGAAATTAGCATTACACAGTTTTCACACTTTGTCAGGAGCAATATACATGAGCTAAAGAAAACTGTGCTCTGGTGAATGAAGTCCAGGTATCAAGGATTAAATTACACATTGTAAGGGTGAAAGTGGCAACATATTTCGGTAATTGGAGCTGATAAATAAAGCAATTAGGAGTGACATGTAAATGTTACCCAGTCTGTCAGTCACACTAGATTGGGCACCAATTTGTAGCATGCCATCTTTTAGGTAGTAAATCTCTAACCTCAAAACCTGACCTGAAAACCTAACTCCTCCTGCTTTTAAGTTTGGCACCCCTCTGACAGTATTCTTTCCAATGGCTGCATGTCACCCCTCTGGCCAAATTTTCCACTACTAGCATGGCACCCTTGTGCAATATGACACTATCCTTTGCACAATTAGCATGGGACAACTCTAAACCTCAAAGCCACATGGTGATCATCTTGCGTCTTGGCTCTATTTAGCATCATATCAGTCTGGCAGCACAGCAACATGGCACTCATTTGGCAAACAAACTTTTTCTGGCACTATGTAAACTGCCAAAAGAAGCTCATGTACTTTTTAAAATAATCAGGCAATTTACAGCTTGTGACAAAACACAAAGGTGTGAACAGGGGCCAAAGGAATGAATAGGATTTCTTGTTTTGCACTTTTCCGTGGACCCCAAAAAAGTCAGTTTTTAAAATGAATGCTACCTATCCCATGGGTTTTATAGGGACTGGTGATCCAAACTGTCCCTTATCTGTGACCAACAATTTCCCAAAACAGCTTATCAAAATTGAAAAGCTAATTTACATTAAATTACAGCCATTTGGTATCTAAAGGTTTCGATTAATTTAAATGGCAATTGGAATCTCAACACAAGCAAAGTATAACCTTTGTTGAAATGGTCTCAGTGGGTAATAAAGCACAGAAATCATACGATTCGGTGGCAGAACTTATTGTCCAGAAAAGGAAACGCCACACAGTTGATGATACTGTAATAATGCCAGCATGTAAAATAGTTAACGTTAGGAGCAAATGCGGCAAAAAAAAAGAAAAGAAAAAAAAGATAAATGAAAAGGTTTCAGTCTATAAGAGTATATAAGTCGATGTATTGATGACATGTCACATGATGCTTAAGAGGTTTTGTGTGATATACTGAAAAATAACAGCTTCTCCCTCCAGGTTGGAGAGTACTTCATAGAACTACAAAGCTCATATCTTACAATTATAACTTGCTTTTTCAAGTGATATTGTCAGTGCCATTACGTTTAATGCTCCAATGCATATTGGTCAATATGAGATCACTTGGAGTCGCATATTAATCAGTACAATTAATGGATTGGAAAATAAAACAGAGAATATTAGAAGAAGTCATGGGAAATCAAAAGGTAATAAACTATAAGTGAACTAAATTTATGAAAAGCATCCAGTGATACAAATATACAGACCTTTGATTCATTGCTATTGATAGCAGGACTTGACATGGTGGATGGTATCATTTTATTTGTCCTTGTATTTTTCCGGTTTTCAATTTTTACGGTATCCTAAAAGCAAGGCACATATTAATACAATATATACTTTTACAATGTTTGTTTAGGAATGTTGTGCATTCCCTGGAGCTCTCATTTAAAAAATAAACAGTCAGGCTGGGTTCACACCTAGGCGTATCGAATATGCACGTTTGTCGCACGTCTTTACCGCGATTCGATGTAAAAAAACGTGCGTCAAACGCACGTTTCCGAGGGCTACCTGGCTGTATCCCAGTGGATACGCGCTGCAAATACGCCCCAACGAAGCTCCTGTACTTCTTTGGGCGTAGGGCGTTTTGCAGCGCGTCCCTACGCGCTGTAAAACGCCCTGGTGGGAACCACGCCTATAGGCAATCACTGGTTTTCACATGTTGAGCGTTTTACAGAGCGTAGGAACGCGCTATAAAACGCCCAGGTGTGACCCAGGCCTCAATGAGAGTCAGTTTGGTTAATATACATGATTAAACAGTGATGCAGAAAGATTACTAAAGCAGCATAGTTAGTTAGGTAACCCTTCAAATGAAGGCAGCAACATATACTAGCACCACGTGACACATAAAAGAAAAACAAAGGAGCAATCTAGGCTTTTCCTAACAAATGTGATTTCAAAGAGTAATGGTCAATGGAAATGACAGAAACACAGCAGCGCTATGTAAGGCAACTGATGAAAAAGGAGTTGAAACCCCTAAATAAATCACAGCATTCAAAAACACTGTATGATAAACAATTTTTTTTTTAAAAACACTTACTTTTTTTCATCCTTTGCTGAATATCAGCGATGCTATTCACCAGCAGCCTCTTTGCAGACACTTCCTGTTTAAATGCATGCACTTTAGTGATGCGAGGCATATCTTAGGGCACATTTTCTGATGGTGACAACAGTGAACCGTGCCTGGGTAATGTGTGTTTTACATGGCCACTTGTAGTCTCCATCAGAAGCTTATGCGAAAAGGTGGCAATGCAACAGCACAATTGACAGGCAGGAATAGATTGTCACCTTATAACAGAAAGTGCCTCAACATGGATCTTCCTGGCAGGATTACCAGGTATCATTTTAATGTAAGCTGCAAATTTAAAGGTGAACTCCAGCCACAAAAAACAAACAAAAACAAAGCATATCTAAACCCAAAACCAAAAATGTAATATATTGCAGCTCACCAAACCTTAAATGTGGTCAGTGCATTAGGTTTCTTTTTTTAAGCTTGTTTCCTTTTATTTTCAACTGGTGATCCAGCCAGTAACTGGTGATCCAGCCAATTCCTGTCTAATGGTGGCACCACTCTATGGAGGAACAATGTAGCCACTCTTGGACGGCAGCATTTTCACCCTGTGGGGAGGGTAGAGTGATGCTCACCACACATGTTACAATCTGATTGTGCAATCTCTTATAAATCTACCAACATCTATGTCATAAAAGGGCCTTCCTGACTGGATAGATTGATTGGATAGCTTCGGTATGTCCTCATATTACATAGTTTTGGTAAATCTAAAGTTGATTGTACAGAGATGGTAATGTGTATGGTGTGAGTTAGATGCACTAGTAGATTTAGAATTGCTGAGTTTGTTTTATAAAAAGTAGACAATGTTTGTCCATATGGACATATCACTATTAGATGATCATTTTAATAAGGTGGTGTAAACACTTTTGCACATTTTAATTTTTATTGTAATAAAATGATTTTATTTTTATATTTACAATCATTTTTTCTGTGTTTATGTTGTAGACATTTTCTCATCATTGTTATTTATAATTATTTTGTTATAGTAGGTTTTCATTTATAGTGTATGGATGCATGTGGAATAAAGTTTGAATTTCTTTGGAAGATCGTGTGCTGGTTCTAGTTTTTTCATTTATAGCGTTAGACTATTATTACCACATTCTTTACAAAAAAGTGTGATGTTACTTTGACATTCTACATGTCTGCTATACAACATTCCCATGATTTTTTTACAGACATCTTTTATTTTTTTAATTCTCTACCCTAGTGGTTGTGTGTATTTGACTACATTCACTCTACCTACCTGATCAACAATCACCCATATGCAATCTAAGTCACAGACATTGCATTCTTTTCAAATATGACTCGTAGAGCTGATTGGGAGAGGAACTGTTAAGGCTCAAACATTGTGCTGCACTGCTAAGCAGGAAGCAGTCTGCATATTTAATGAGTAAAAATGCCTGTCTCCATGGGCATATATAATTACGAAGTATACACAGAATCAAGATTTCTACTCGTAAACTTCATTAGAATGTATAGCAAGATGCAAATGCGCAGCTATGGCTGGGTTCACACCTAGGCATATAGAATATGCGCGTTTGTCGCGCATTTCATGCCGCACGTTTTTACAGCGATTCACGGTTTAAAAAAACGCGCTACAAACGCGCGTTTCCTGGCTGTATCCCAATGGATACGCGCGACAAAAATGCCCCAAAGAAGCTCATGTACTTATTTGGGCGTATGCCGTTTTGTAGCGCGTTCAGACGGGCTGAAATACGCCCAGGTGTGAACCATACCCATAGAAAACAATGGGATTTCGGTGTTTGAGCATTTTGCAGAGCATTCGAACGTGCTACAAAACGCCCAGGTGTGAACCAGGCCTTAGAGTGCATTCTTGGCATGCCTCAGATCAGGGATAAATTGAGATACGTCATCTCAATTTGGCAAATAAATATGGCAGAAGATGCCAAAAGAAGACCAGGCGAATATTTCAGCACCAGCGAGGAAGATATTGCATTGATAGAGATGATGCGAGTATGGCGGACTTCTAGTTCCAATTTAACATATATGCCAAGCCTCCAAAAGAATTGGGACTTTTTCTTCTGGCATTGCCCTCTTAGGTAAATATGGATGGGTGTACAGATTGGCTTTAATGTAGTAAAATACAGGAATAAGTATTAAAGTTACATACAGTGCTTCTATACTTGTTAGGATGATATTTAATATAAAGTATATAAAGCACAGTGGACATTGCTGAAGTTGCCTAGTTGATTGCAAGAACAAAAATAAGCTTTCTTATAAATATATTCTAGGTAAAGCACTTGAAAATAAAAGGCGCGTCATACACATCACAAGACTTATAAAAAGCACTTCAGTTCCAAATGTATTTTAGAGTGAGATGTACTGTCATTGCAAGATGAGCAGAATAAACAGACCTATGCAATGCACACATAGGATAATGGGCAGTAATGGATGTGTTCCATATAACCCTAAGATTCAGGCAAATATATCTTGGAGTAAGTCATTTATATACATTTGAAGTACTCTTCATTGCAGTATGCCTGAGTGCCACAGGACTTTGATGCACAAGTGTGTTCTGTGTATATTATATGAACGATAACATACATGAAAAATACCTAACCCTTACATAAAAGGAAAAAAATGTGTTAAAGTATAAAAATTGGATTTACTATTGACAACACAGGCAGTTCTTCTGTAAAAGAAGATTCTAAACCAAATCACTAAAATCTAAAATTTAGCATGTTATGGCTTGTTTACACCATGTCCACTGAGCTGCACATGTATGGGGTGGTGTGAACAGGGCACCATAGAAAACAATTGTTTTCTACGTGCCCTGTCCATAGCATACAATCTTTTTAAATTAGCAAGTTTTCACTAAATGAACCTCAGGTTATTCTGCCAGGTGCTTGTTAAGACACTCCCTGTTATCAGATAAGAACTGTCTCAACTATGCTCCTGGGTTATCACCTGGTCACATGCACCCCGTCAACAGGAGACAAAACCTCCTTTATTTGGGAATATTAGCAGTAGACTGCGACTCTTCAGGGAGCTCATTATTATTATTATGATACAGGATGTATACAGCGCAAAGAGTTTTGCGCAGCGTTTTACAATATAAGGAAGGCATTACAATTAAAATACAAGATGGTAAGGAGGGCCCTGCCCATGAGAGCTTACAATCTAAAAGGGAGGAACAAGTGTTACATGAGGAGGTAGCTGTGTGGGGATGAATCGTTTGAGAAAGATATTTCAGTGGTTAGGTTGAGGTCGGATAAGCTTCACTGAAGAGATGAGTCTTAAGGGATCGCCTAAAGGCAGAGTGGGAGATAGACAGACAGGTTGGGGTAAAGAGTTCCACAGAATGAGGGAGACTCTAGAGAAGTCCTGGAGGCGAGCATGGGAGGAGTTGATAAGTAAGCTAGAGAGCAAGAGGTCTTGCGAGGAGCGTAGGGGGCGGTTAGGAAGATACTTAGAGACAAGGTTGGAGATGTAACCTTGGGCTGAGTTGTGAATGGCTTTGTAAGTGGTTGTTAATATTTCAAATTTTATCCTTTGGGCTATTGGAAGCCAGTGCAGGGATTGACAGAAGGGGGGTTGTGGATAAGTCTGGCAGAAGCATTCATGATAGATTGAGGGGGGGGGGGGGGAGCGCG